TGTTGCTCAATTATTAATTTTAACCACTTCTGGGACAAATATAACCTATTTCTGAGAGGTGTCGACCAGAATTTCTCTCTCAGTTGAAAAAAAATGGTGGAATTTAGTCAATTTACTTTTTGTGACATTTTGGGGACTTTTTTTTTGAAAACCCAGAACTTACGGCAAAACAGTAACTCAGTCAACAAAATTTACACCTGTAGTTAGATTATCTAGTTATAAACTAACAATTGGCACAAAAGAAATGGATTCAATGTGATTTTAACCTAGTGCAAATTGCATGTTTTAATTGCATTTTTTGGGATTTTTAACATCATCCTGCATTTTGGCAATTTTAGTGACCTGTAGTTAACTAAGCCAACCCAGTAATCGATCTGACCTTCTCTATAGACTAGATTTGACTGCTTTTAGCAAAATTGAATGTCAAAAACTACGGTTTGTGGTAAACCTATGATATGCCCCCTAAAATGTCATTTTTTTCTCCCCTAAAATGTCAAATTTGTATTTTGTTCGCATGGTGTGCGATAATAGCTCTTGTTTTGGCACTTGTTAATTATTAACATCAACTATCAACGAAATGTGAGTATGCATTGCATCTTAGGAAAAGCCTGAGTAATTTGATCAGGTTAAAATGACATTTTAGGGGGGATAATTAGACATTTTAGGGGATGTTTATTGCGATTAATAAAATAAAACTAATTCCTTGAGCTGCCAAAGCTTTCCAATATTACCATTAGATGCTAAATATGATGTTTAATAGGCTGGTACCTCCATTTTATGATGCTTGTAGTCTCAAAGCCAGAATCTGATAAAATGACATTTTAGGGGGCGGCCAGGTGACATTTTAGGGGAGGGTAGTAATATTGAGTAATGTATAACTTTCCATATCTCCAGTCATATGTACAAAGTTGCTAAAATATGTAAATATCACTATCCTAGACCAAAACTGAGTTAATATTAATGAATTCCAGAGTTATAAAATTGTGCGCTTTTTTTTTCAAAAGTAAAAAATTCGTACAAAGTGAAAAAAATGCTCTTATGGCATCATTTAGATTCAATTTCTGGATGTGGCAGGGTCTGAATGATATTTTTTTATGTTTAGGAGTTACAAATGATTAGGTAAGATACTTTCTAAGAAGATGGGATCCAATCAATCAAGAGTGTCGTTTTAGGGGTGGGTGACATTTTAGGGACGGTTTACCCGTAATCCAAGTCACTTAATAACGATAATTAACATTATGCCCAGATCCTGTTCAGCCTTGCATATAAATAACAGATACTGATAGTAAGAAGTTTAAATACAGGATAAATAGTAGAGTCGCCCCCATATCATGTTAGGGAAATTAGGCGGCTGCACACAGCTACAAGGAAAATGCGGCTGCTCTGGTCGTGGTGGAGCCACGCGTAACAGGAATATCAAATATAAAACTAATGAAATCAGTCGATAGATCGCGATCCACCATGAGCAGAGCGCTTGTTTGATTAGCTTTATGAGTCAGCTTGACTGAGCACCATTTTCAAGGGTTGAGAAAGGTCATGCTGAAATTAAACTAAACTGAATATAAATCTAAGAGAATCTGAGAGGACACTTGAAAAACATCAGACGATGAAATGCTCCTCGTCGTCGATGCAATTTAGATTTCAATTTAGATGGTAAGGCATTGCATTCCGCAAATTTAGGCTAACGAGTAAGATAGTAGAGAATTACAAAGACTGGGCCGTGACAACACGATATTTTATAAAGCACGAACTAGTCGGTGATTGGTTAAATTTGTCCCGTGACTAAACTCCAGGCACTTTAGATCCACCTCCCTGACCGAAGTAATCCTAACAATAGAGTTATGGTATATAACTCTATTGTTTGGTTTTATATTTATAGAACTTATACTGCTCAACATCACGCTTATGGTGTTGGTAAACTCACACTTTAGATTACTAAGACATTAGATTACTGGACGTTAGATGATTACCCTCATTCCTTAAGCTATGTCCTTGAAGTGAAGTATGTCGATCTTGGTAACGCCTATGTGCTTGTTCAACGCATAAATATACCAACATAGACAAAGATACTTGTCTATGTTACTGAAGGAAGGTGGGACAAACTCTAAAAAGGAACTGCGAACCCTGATGCGGGACAGGGATATATAGAGGGGTTATCTGGCGTAGATCCGACATAGGTCCGACATAGTAGTAGTAATAGTAGTAGTAGTAGTATATACCAACATACTAGTGTGGAGGTTAACTGTATTTGATTTGACACGTGACGATAAGTAACTAGATCTATAAAGCAATCAAATAACAGATCCAGATCACGAAGTTATCAGTGATTGTCTCCCGTCAGATAATGAGGCGTATAATCATTATGATAATGATTATGTTCTGATAATTTGTGATAATAACCTTGAGTCGCCGCGTTGAATCATGGTCAATCTGCTGTGTAATAATCGCTGTATAGTTCATCAGACCAGTCTCAGAGAGGCCGACAAAGTTAAAGCAATTTTATTTTCTTAATTTTGTCCGCTTTTAATATGATTTAGTGAATTAAGAATCGTTTGATGATGTTTCAGTTCAAATTGACCCCAAATATGACATCTGAACCAACAAACATTAAACAAACATATGAAAAAATATATTAAAGCTAAAAGTAAATCAAAGTAATAGTTGGCACACAGTTCAACTGTAGCCAAGATAACAGTACAGTTTGGATGTGTGATATGAGTATATGAACGTATTTCATCTTGCATTTTAACAAAGGATAAGCACCCGCCTCAAACATTAACAAAGGATAATGAACTGAGCACTGTATACTACTATTGTAATGTTAAACTATCCTGGATCTTCAATGTTCATACTTATGTAACTTCTACGCTGTATTACTTGACATTAGTACCCACATTGGTGTTGCTCATAAATATTGTTGTGTTGTTAAGTAGGGTGTCACTAGTTACCATTGTGTCACTAGTTACCATTGTGCTGTTAGACAGGGGTGCCCAGCTTGAGCAGTAAGTGGGTTGGAGCATATGTCGGTGGGTGGGTCTATTTTTACTTTAAAATTCAGTTAGTGTGTTGCACTTTAAAATTTTACGGGGCGACGTCGGTTACCCGTAAAATAGGGTGGGCGACAATTGATTAATAACAGGGGGGATCAATTGTCGCGGTACGGTAAAAATACTGCGAAAAAGGGTCCATTATGAAAAGAATTATAAACTTTATTCAGCACACAGTAGATCTGGATTTTAATGTAGCCGCTACGAAGGAACAAGTAAAAATGTGAGAATATGTGGTACACATAGCGACTAGACCGGTCCAAGCTAGCACAACGTCGAACCTGGCCAATCTACCCAAAAACGCAATGAATGCTGTGGTCATTGTATGGAAATTTTTGGAAAGGTCGAGATACTCTGTCAATGGGCAGTGGCAAATAAAGGATAGTACTGGTCCAAACTGGTGGAAATGGGTATTCTCTAGGGTTGCCAGCCGATATTATCGGCCGATAATTATCGGCGATAATTCTCCAAAAATCGTTATCGATTATCGCGATAATTTTCGAGACTTATCGCGATAATCGACCACCTTTTATTAGGGGAAAATGGCACAGATTTTCTAGTTTGTTTTTTTGTTTGTAGAGTAAAACCCTAGTGCTAGCATAATTTACAGTGTAATGGTATGCTGACGTGCTGTGTAGTGTGTATTGTGTATGAATTTGTGGCAATGAAAATTTAAATGTTGCACTGTCGCATCTAAGTAAGTAGGTGGATTGAATTTGAAGGTTGTATGCTCAGACGTAGTTATTGTTGTTTGTTGAAGCACAGAAAGGAACTCAGACTACAACAAGACAGCAAAAACCGTTGGAGCTCACTGTGCAGTATGTTGGAGTAATAACTGCAATGCAGTGAACGACGTTTTGGTTGACTTGGAGCTTGGTAATCTAAAACTGGATGCTGAAAAGACTGAGTGAGTTAGTTAAAGACATTATCAGTTCTGTGTAAAAGAGACAAATCTCGCTCGAGCAGAAGTGATTTTTCAATTTATTGATAGCTGGAAAGATAGAATCGCTACTTTCTCGATCTTTTCTTGAAGTTTATAGTCTACGTACACGATATGTTAAAAGAAAGAACCTTATAACTTCGTATCGCTGGTAACGTTCTAGAATTATCACGAAGTAACTTAAAGTCTCTGCACCAGCGGTTGTTCAAATAGTAAGAGACAAACGACGACTGGTTATCAGGACTTACAGGCCATTCGAAAACTCGGTACCAAGGATAGATACCCTTGCTCGGGAGATCGACCTATTCACAACTAACAGGCAGGAAACTGACTCTATCTAAGAAATACGCCCTTCATTATATGTCGTACCACGCCAGCAGACATTTTTGAATAAACTATGTTGTAACTTGAATGAATCTTCGTTAGATTTGCTGATTGTTGATTTTTTACATTTCATGCCATTTTGTTGCTATATAATGATGATATTACAAGGTTACATAGCATAGGAGCATAATAAGTATGCAGAGTGCAGACAAATATAACTTCAATTATCTTGCCAAATTTATCGCCGATAACCGATATTATCGCGATAATTTCGAAAAAATTATCGATTATCGCGATAAAAAGAATTGTACCGATAATGGCAACCCTAGTATTCTCTAATATTCATGGAAAATATTTATAAAAAAGCACGGGTTCCGGTAAAAGATAAATAAAGAGGTAGAATTAGCTTCATTATACTATATATACATATATATATATGATCTTTTAAATTTACGTATCTAGCGTTTAATAATAAACTAGACTAAGATTATTTCGGGATGATTACTTCAATTTTACTAAGAGGAACAATAATATTATATATAATAATAATATTATATAAGTCAATCAGATTTTCCATTAATCGCACAGGGTCTACTTACCCTGAAATGGAACCAGGCAAAATCTTCACCTATCAATTATAATTACCCACTTCTCTACGTATTTTGTATCTTAAACTGCAACACTTTCAGATCTGCTGAGAGGAATGCTGAAATACACCGCAGCGGACAGACTCTCTGCTTCAGACAGCTTAGAACACCGGTTCTTTGACAGACGGTTATCTCGAGACCGCTGCAGTAGGAGTTACAAGAGCAGATAACGAAAACTCTGTCTTAACTCTATCGACTATCTCTCAACAAAACTTAGTCTCAACTTTGCCTGAAATGATGGTCGAGTGCGGCGGCGAGATTTTATAGCACGGTTTTTAAGATGTATAAGTGGCCAGAAGCATAACGCGAGTTGGCAGTTCTAGTTGGAACTGATTGCGGGTTTGATAGTGCCATGGGAAAACGGAGATGTTTGGTGATGTGTAACGGAACACCTAACGTTGTCACTTAAAGCATTTGTTTTGATATAACATATATTGAATATTGGTGGTAATATTGACCAGTTTTTATTATGTTAGAGTAATATTAAGTAGAGTGAGTCAAGTAGATATGATCAGTTTTTATCATGTGAATACATTAAGTACGTGGGAAAATGAGGCAGTTGCTTAATCACCTCATCTTTACAAACCTTACCTTATTTTTACAAACATACCGATATTGGATTGCACCAAAAACACTATAACATAGCCGAGAACATTATATTAGTCGATTTCTGCGCACTGTTTTTTGGTATTATCAATTATACAATATCTTGTGTGTGTATTTCAAGTAGTTGATATAATAAGTGCGCAGTAATTTTGATTTTGCAAAAACAGAGATCAAAGGAGCGGATTTAATCCAAGAGTTGGACTTTTGTCTGGTCTAACGTTCTATAAATATTATTTACACGATTATTTTCTACCGCACCGGGTTAATAAGTGTACGGTTCAATGTATGAATATGCCAAACATTGTTCGGGCTCGGCGAACACGTATCGGTAATCGGTATATTAGTATAACGAGTTACCAATAGGTTTGTTATGTATGTAAATAAGGTTTCTGGAAGATTTAATTTAAAAAATCAAGACATTATTGAGAATAACTGTGGGTGATTTGACTAATTACATGTATGATGAAATAATTCATTCGACATTTTGATGCAAATAATGACCCATCGGAAGAGAGATAGAGTAAGGGTACTGGCTTTTCCAACAAATATGTAAAAAGTTTTACAATGACTTTGATATAGTTCGAATTCTAATACCACCAGTAATGTCAACACTGACTCTATGTTATAGTTACATTAAATAGTAAATTCTGTTTTGTTTGTGATATGATGACTTATATTTATTGTTGGTCTTTCTTATTCTTAGTTTTTAATACTAATCCGAGAGTTTTGTTTCTTCTCCCATTTTACGTAACAACCAAAAGTTTTGTTGCTCCAGTATGGGGTCGTTCACATATTACGTAACCATTTTTTGGAACATCCCCCCCCCCCCCCCAATCAGCTGATTACGTAATATTATGTGAACGACCCCCAAATTTACGAATTGGATGTTACGTGCACAACAAGCATGTAAATATTCATCTTTATAGAATTACCCTGCAACCTGCATCTAATTCTAATCGTATAACAATTTTAGTAGTAGGCTGACTAGACAGCTCGCTTCTCTCAATTCACGTATATATATAATGTATAGAAGAAGCAAAACAAATTTGCGCACCGTACCACTGCCACCAGGTTAATTCAGGAGTACATTATTCGTTTCTCTTTTTGACATACGTTGCATGCCACTTTTCGCGCGCGAAGCGCGCGCCGCCGAAGGCGGATACGAAACATGTATCAATTCTCTTTCAAGAGTGATACCCGTGAATATATTTGTATAGTAGTAGTGAGTAGGCCCGGCAACGACACGGTAGGTTATCAGTTATGAACACACAGATTCACGCGCTGAAAAAGCGGGAAGATCAAGAACGCGCAGATGAAATTATACTGAGCCGCGCTTTTATGTCAAGGTTGCTGGTCAAATTTTACTATTTGATCAGCGTATAGTAATCACATCGCGCGTCACGTAAACTAATAACAAATTCAGGACAGCCGACACGGACCGTTTATAGCGTACGGAGAATAGAGAAATGACTGAAGAATTCCAAGTGAAGACAACTTGACCTTAGCCAAAATCAATGAGGGGAGGGAAGTCAAGTTTGATGTCAAGAGACAATTAAACGATTATTCTACAGTTAAATGTTTGTTCAAAGTTTTCAGACAATTAGTTTCAAAATCACTTAATCAAAAAACGATCAAGAATTATATAATAACTAAGAAGAAATAGCTCAATAAGTATTATAAAGTAATTCGTCAAACTAAAAAAAAACTTCCAATGACAATATCTTCAACAGGGTTTATTATTGCAAGTAATTTCATGTCTGTTTTTTGAACTACTTTCACTAAACCTCCTATCACAGTAAGAACAGGAGTAGGGTTTCTCCCCTGTGTGTATCCTGATGTGACTAGTTAAATTACTGCTCCTATTGAACCCTTTACCACACACACTACTATACACTTATGTGGTCTCTCTCCAGTGTGTATCAGAGCATGTTTCTTCAGATGACCTGATTGTAAAAACAGTTTTCCACAGTACTTACACTCGTGCTTTGATTCTAGCTCACGATCACCATGTCTTCGCTTGTGTGATTCAAGAGCATAAGGTACGTTAAAAGACATTGGACACACATCACATCTGTATTGTTGCAGTGGATGCTCTGTACTGATATGATCATATAGTTCCTGTTCAGAAGGTTTCTTAACACCACACTGCTTGTACCCACACCTGTATGTCTTGTTAGTGTGGTTATTGTAGATGTGAACAGTGAGATTCTGCTTCAAAATAGCAGTATAGTCACAGTGTATACACTTGTACTGCTTATCCCCTGTGTGTGTTAACATGTGATATGTGAGGTGATGTTGGTGATCTGTTTTATATTTACAGTAGGGACAGCTGTGTCTCGCTACCTTATTGTGTACTGTTCTGATGTGCCTAGCTAAGTTACTCCTGTCAGAAAACATCTTCCCACACGTGTCACACTTGTGCACTTTCTCTTTTCCTGACACTCTCCGAGTCTTCCCACATGTGTGTGTCTTCAGCTCTTGCTGTGTCTTAAACAGCTTCAGACAACCAGTTGCAGTACAATGATATTGCTGACCTGTATTAATGAAATATTACTGAAATATAATGAGGAATTGTTCAAAGATAATGATAATCTCGTGCTCACCTAATTTTTTATTTCAAGGCATATAGTCGTAATAATCAATGATGTGACCATTTCCGACTCCCTTTAAGGGGGCCGGGGGGTCTTCATCAAAATTCTCTCGAAATTGACTTTATAGTTGTTTCTGGTAGAGGGGAGTGATATCTACCAGCTGCTTTTTGTCCCATGGAAAAATATTGTTCCTAGCCGAAATTATCGCCGGTCTAAGGTCAGCGCTTATGTGTAATTGTATTGCGCGAGCGATTTTCAATCGCAAATTCTGAAAATCGAGTCTAAAAATCTATCTCCTCCTACATTTTTTGAGCAATCACCCTGAAACTTTCAGGATATGTTCTAGGGACCATTTAGAAGATTTGATCGAGCCAAAATTTTGAGATAGGCCTTTAAAAAATTTTTATTCAATTTTGAAAATCTTGGACCTCGTTTTTTTACGATTTTTTCAGGTCCAAGATTTTCAAAATTGAATAAAAAATTTTTAAAGGCCTATCTCAAAATTTTGGCTCGATCAAATCTTCTAAATGGTCCCTAAACATATCCTGAAAGTTTCAGGGTGATTGCTCAAAAAATGTAGGAGAAGATAGATTTTTAGACTCGATTTTCAGAATTTGCGATTGAAAATCGCTCGCGCAATACAATTACACATAAGCGCTGACCTTAGACCGGCGATAATTTCGGCTAGGAACAATATTTTTCCATGGGACAAAAAGCAGCTGGTAGATATCACTCCCTTCTACCAGAAACAACTATAAAGTCAATTTCGAGAGAATTTTGATGAAGACCCCCCCGGCCCCCTTAATATTACCAGAGATTGTTCTCACCATTTTCAACATCAGTCTGCAAAGAATACCCCAACTCTTCGAAATATTCCTCTCCGTAGAAAACTAGTAATTCCTCTCCCAACCCAATTGGTTTATACGAATAATACTGTATTCCACCTAGAAAATGTATTCCATGATAGAAGGCAAATTACAATACACAACGATATGTCATTAATTATTTTTATTAGTATTCAATAACTAAACCATGGTTATTTTATTATCAGGATACACCTTAATAGAAAACAGCTTAATAATATGAGGATGGTATGTAATAGGTTCATATATAAAGATTCTACCCAACGGATTTGGGTATGGGATATTCACAATTTATGTAAATAGATAAGTAAGAACGACGTAGTAGAAAACTGGCGAAAAAGTACACCCACTTTTACCTGGGATATTTCTAACAAGGACGTTCTCTTCACATTGACCCCGAGCACAGTTAAGAAACCGTAACCAGTTGCTAGCCCTGTGACTTGCCCCGTCCAGGTAAATAACATCTCCATCCTGACTAACAGCTCTCCACGCATATCCACTCTCTTTATCTGAAGACTCTAATTTTTTGTACTCCTTTTCTGATAGAACTTTTTTTTTCTTGTAGTTACCTGATAAAATAGATAAATCAGAACAACCAAATTTAGGGTACGAAACATTAATACAATTGCTGTTTGGCGAAAGGGACGTGGACACAAAAAAAGGAGTAAATTCTGATCTCAATTCTTAACACATCAGTCATCATGTGACTTACCCAATATACTTCCTGGTTCAATAAACTGATACGCAAAAGCTCCATCTCCAGCCCTGGGAATTGTGGATTCCTTGATTTCAATACAACTAGGTACTGGGAAGTTTGCAGTCTTCTTAGTTCCTGGTTGGCTGATATCTTCTGAACAAGAGAGTAAAGGACCATGTAGTTCACATTCTCCCCTCACATAATCTTTACATTGCCAGCAAACTGAAAAACAGAATTTCATTAAAAACATCATGATCATTCATAAACGTATCTACCAAATTATTAGAGTAAAAGTAACAGTACCATTAACAGTTAATTAAAGCAAAGATTCGGTAAATTTTGACGAATCATTATGATTCAGATACATTAAATTTAAATTTTAGTTGCTGATATAAATAACAATAAATACCATCTAGTATTGATAAACAATAAGTTAACTCCTATCTTCGTAGGAACTTACAATATTCAGACTGTAAGACCTCCTCCAGATCATCGTTATCATCACGGTATATAACCCCCTCTTTAGCAACCCTAGGAGGGTTACTACGTCTATTTTTAGAACCTTTTCCTGCAGCTGCTTGAAGTTCTGTCTTGGAGAAGTCTTCCTGAATGTTATCTCTCTCAGCAGTGGTATCTGTAGGAACACTAATATGTGTCTGTGTAATGTTTTGCATCTCTTCTGATTCTTTATCTTCGTCAAACAAGCTCAGTAGATAACCATCATCCAACATTCCTAGATATTCAAAATCATCTATTTCTTCTTCTTTCTTCTCAGAGTCAGGTTCTGACTCAGGTAACCAATAAGAAGGACGGGGAATATTGTCAATATTCTCGTACACTTCTCTGTTACTGAGTATGGTGGGGAGTTTCTTTGTTTGTGTTACAGAGCTGGATCTGATATCAGACTCTGTTGTGGTTGTTACACCAGATATGTTATCAATTCTAACATTATCTGTTATACTCTTATGATAACTACTGCTACTTTTATCTGGAGTTACCATGTCACTTAGTTCAGTATTGTTGTGTGTACCGCTACAAGAGGGTAAGTTGTCATTCGGTTCAGGTGTTGTTATAATATATTCTTTTCTTTGTGGTATGATACTTTTGTTAGTACTCGTTTTGGTATGGTCGCCATCATTATCTAGAACAGTAATTCTATCCATATCTTTGAGCACCTCCTTCACTTTTTTGTTATACCTGCAGGATAAACAATTAACATGTAAGTCGTATTTAAAATTCACCAGCAACATGCAATCAACTACAATTACTATATATTATGCAGTGGTTACGAGAAGCCATAGAATTTGTATGTGTAAGACAACAAAGTATCAAAAGTAAAAACTAACTCGTCCTGCGTCATGTTGTGATGGTTATCATACAACTCAAGTGCTCGATCAAGACAAGTATCTGCCTGGTCCTTGTTTATTCTACCAAACTTATACTGTTCCTCATCATCGTCAGGTACATCATTACTCTTGTCTGACATAAGTTCATTATAGAGGTCAGGAGGCAGCTCAATTCTATCTGTATCCTCATCTGAGGACTCTTCATTCTCCCTGTAAAGTAGTACCCGTTAAATATATCATAACATTATTAAGTTCAAAAACTCAACATCATTGAGACTCTGACAAATAGTAATGCAAAAAGAAACACGAGCAAAAGTTCTAAAACACGATTAAGATCAAGATTCATGTTATCAAATTTAATTTAATAATCAAATATAAATAAAATTACATATTTAGATAAAGTGTAACTAACATGTCCTCCAGGAATTTCTCCCAGCCACCAGGATAAGTCTCACAAGTAATTTTATAGAACTCCTCATCAGACATAAGAGAATCTATGTTAGCCTCACATATTTCATGTGTAAACTCAGGGTTTTCTGCAATCAGTTTACACACATCTACAGGACCTTCTCCGAGGTGAGAAGCTAGATTCTTGTTGACAAGTAGATCTTGTAATGCTGGTACAGACTCAGGTTCTGAGTGTAGGAACATCTCTAGTTCATCTACTTCAGGAGCTTCAGCTTCTTCAGGCTGATTAACTTGTCTTACACATTCCACACAATCCAGCTGTTCTTCTTTTATCTTTTTAGTCTCAACTCTTCCATTCTTATGTTTACCTTTCTGGGACTTCTTCTTTTTGTTGGGAGATTTCTTCTTCTTATTAACTACAGGACTGTCTTTGTCACTGTCTGAGCTGTACCTCTCAGCATAGCAGGGTTTCTGGGATCAATATTAACAACCTCCTCAAGTTTTATCAACCCATCTTCATACTGATTCAGCAATGTTTCATCTGTGATGTGAGATAATTATTATTATATACGGAAATGAGTTTTGACACTACCGTGCCAAAATTAATTTCACACAATATTGCAATAATTTGATCAATCACAGTAGCCTATTTGAAGTTTGGATTAGAAGTTCAGAGGTTGAGAGGTTGATTAATTGTTAGTTCATTATTTGTTTAACGGAAGAAAATTAAATTTACACTGTGAGTAGGCTGAGGTATGTTCCTCCCATTCTTTAGTCCGGTAACATTCCAGTGGTTCATCTAGTGTCATAAAACCCAGTTCCACCAACTTATCTCTGTTATCTCTTATTCTCTTGTATCTTTTGAGACTGTGTTCACACACACCTCCACAGTACCTGGCCCCTTCAAACAACTTCCACAGTGACATTATGTTCTAAATGTAACAAACTAGATTAAGTTGGAAGGAACAGTTAGTTTACAACAGAGATATAATAAATATAACTTAAATTTAAATCGTAATCAAATGTTGGTTCAAAGTTATTAGACAATATTAGTTTGAACATCAGTTGGAAAATTACACAATCAAATATGATCAAGAATTATAAAATAACTTTGTCAGAAAAAATAGTCCAATATAATAAGCATTAAGTAATTCGTCAAACTATCACAAAACTAACAAAAACAATTTCTTCAACAGGGTTTATTCTTGCAAATAATTTCATGTCTGTTTTTGTCACTACTTTGTTTGAACCTCTTATCACAGTAAGAACAGGAGAAGGGTTTCTCGCCTGTGTGTATCCTCATGTGTCTAGTTAAATTACTGTTCTGATTAAACCCCTTACCACACACACTACACTTGTGTAGTTTCTCTCCAGTGTGTGTCAGAGCATGTTTCTTCAGAGTACTTGATTGTAAAAACAGTTTTCCACAGTACTTACACTCGTGTTGTGATTCTAGCTCACGATCACCATGTGTTCGCTTGTGTGACTCAAGATTACGTGTTATGTTAAAAGACATAGGGCACACATCACATCTGTATTGTTGTAGTGGGTGCTCTGTACTGATATGATCATACAGTTCCTGTTCAGAGGGTTTCTTAACACCACACCCCTGTGGCAAATAGTCAGGCGTCCAGGAATTTAACACCTAGTCAAAATTTGTTGATAACCGGTAAAAAAAGATTCTTGTGGAAAAAATATTCACATTAATTTAAAATTAAATCAAAATTGGTCGCTCTCAGGGCTAACGCGATGTTACATCATTTTATCGACTCGAAGTTCGAATCGAGCGCATTCCTAGATTCCATGACTATTTCTTACCTATAAGATTGCTTGACTATTTTTTGCGCATTCAGACACCAAAAAACGCGCAGAAAACGCGAGCTATCCATTCCTCCTTCCTCAACATCCCGGAATATGAAAAAATAGTCATGTAAAATAGTCATTTGAAATAGTCATGCAAAATTTCAGCTCTGATACGCTAAAATATCAAGTTAATCTTAAACAATCGACAATCTAATATGAATCCTCCCAATCCTCCCAGCCATATTAACTGGTGAACGGTGTAAATATAGAGCGGTATTTTAAAATGTAGCATTCAAAATTTTATGGATTCAAGTTGGCTCCTTTAGTCTAGATTCATTTAGAAAATTCTCGAAGTTCGAGTAATACAGTATTCTCAGGGTTTGGCGCTTAAGGAAGCTTCACATCCGAGACCGATTTCCACGAATCAATTTAATATTGTAGCTACAAGTCAACAACAGTGCAAGTGGGAAGGAAGTGAATCTAGCCATTGCTACTATATCAGGGGAACTCGTGTGTTCTAGGCTTAAGCAAGTTTCACATCCTAGATCATCTAGAGTACAGTGCAGACAACCCCCTCCATTATACATCCCTATCCCGCTTTAAGTCCGAAGTTTATCATTGTTTATTGTCCAATATTGTATCTAACCTGGCAGAAGCAAGCTTCAGATCCAAAGTCAGGCCATAAATATCGACACAAGGTCGAAGCCACTTTCAGAGTAACGAACCGTTCATCATGCTGATGAGAGTCAAACCTTAGAAATCGATCTTTCGAGTTAGTATGAAAAATACTATGGATATGTCTGTGGGCTAGGCTGTATATTTCTTTAAAAAAATATTTCCTTGCGTTTCAAATAAATTAAAGAATTCTCAGAAATTTTTTATTTAATTTCAAAATTTGCAATTGCATATTCATCCGGTAATTATTGTAATGGATACGCTAAGCATTTCAAACTAATCTTGACCTGGGAGAAGAGCTGACCAGTGACAAGTCGGCCGCAAAGCGGCCGAAAAATATATAGCCTTTTTTCCTTCCCAAAATGGATTCCTAGTCATATTTAAAATTTATTCCACTGGGCACCACACTGCTTGTACCGACACCTGTATGTCTTGTTAGTGTGTTTACTGTAGATGTGAAAAGTGAGATGCTGCTTCTGAACAGCAGTATAGTCACAGTATGTACACTTGTACTGCTTGTCCCCCGTGTGTGTTAACATGTGATATGTGAGGTAAGTTTGGTTGTCAGTTCTATATTTACAGTAGGGACAGCTGAGTCTCGCTACCTTATAGTGTACTGTCCTGATGTGTGCAGTTAAGCTACCCCTCTCAGCAAACATCTTCCCACACGTGTCACACTTGTGTACTTTCTCTTTTCCTGACACTCCTCGAGTCTTCCCACATGTGTGTGTTTCCAGTTCTTGCTGTGTCTTAAACAGCTTCAGACAACCAGTTGCAGTGCAATGATATTGTTTTAATGAATGATTACGGAAATAACGTGATGACCTGTCCAGCTAACCAATGCAATATTGTATATTCTCTTGCACACATAATTTTGCATTTTAATGGAAAAAATCGTTATAATCAATGATGTGACCATTTCTAACTTCTTAGATGTTAGTACTACAGATTGCTCTCACCATTTTCAAGATCAGTCTGCAACGAATACCCTAACTCTTCAAAATAGTCCTCTCCGTAGAAAACTAGTAGTTCCTCTCCTAACCCAATCGGTTTATACGAATAATACTGTATTCCACCTAGAAGAATTATTCCTTGATATATATTTTACAAAACGATGCAAATAATTATGCATACTAGTAGTCAATAACTAAATCATTGTTATTCACCAGAATACAGCTTAGTAATCAGTTGATGTTAAGTATGTACTATATATGTAATATGTTGTTGTAACGATTTTATCCAATATACTTAGGTATAAAACATTCACAACTAATGTAACTAGATAAGTAAGAATAACGTATTAAAAACTGGCAAAGAAGTACCCCCAATTTTACCTGGGATATTTCTAACAAGGACGTTCTCTTCACATTGACCCCGAGCACAGTTAAGAAACCGTAACCAGTTGCTAGCCCTGTGACTTGCCCCGTCCAGGTAGATAACATCTCCGTCCTGACTAACAGCTCTCCACGCATATCCACTCTCTTTATCTGAAGATTCTAACTTCTTGTACTCCTTTTCTGATATTACCTTTCCTTTGTAGTTACCTGATAAAATAGATAAATCAGAACATCTCAATTTAAGATAAAAAACATTTATAGACTTGTTGTCTGGTGCAAGGGACAGTGGACACCAAAAAAAGAAATAAAATCTGATCCCAAAAAATCACGTGACTTACCCAATATACTTCCTGGTTCAATAAACTGAGACGCAAAAGCTCCATCTCCAGCCCTGGGAATTGTGGATTCTTTGATTTCAATAGAACTAGGTGGGGGGGGGGGGGCCAATGACTACCAATGGAGACTTTTGGGGACTAATGGGGACTAAAAATCATGGGGACTGGAGGTCAACTCGTTGACGTAATTCACCATTTGTCCCCATAAGTCCCCAGAATTTTTGACAGTTATTTATGGTTTCCAAGTTAGTTTAATAACAATACGACCCAGCTCAAGATTTATGCGAGATTGCGAGCCAGACTCATCGCACAAAATTTGTAAATAAATGAGGAAACAGAAAAAGTTTAACTTAAAAGTTGAGGGAATTAGGAACTTAACATGTATTTTATACTCTTAACGTGTATTTTATCACTTGTTTATAGCGTGAAAACTTCGACGTAACGCGCGCGAGATTTTTGCCAGATTTTTGCGAGTTTCGTTTAAATCTCATAGCTAGGCTCACGATATCGTGAGATTCTCCGCGAGATTTCGGCACCCTCTTTCAGCACTACATATTCGGTCGCGCGCTTGCATTTTCATCGCTTTTCAGCGTGTTTATTCACTGTACTGTCTAAGTCTTAAAGGATACTAGTTGTTATAAGATCAAGATTCACAGTGGTTACAATAGTTACCATGGTTACCATTAAAGGAGGTACTATTCCTGGCTACAGTCTACTCCATCTTTCTCAGAATATACTTGATACTGCCATAGGCATAGTGAATATTTCTTCATTAAAAGTTTGAGAAAGGGTCTCTTCAACTGGAGAACTGACTTATTAATCCTAGCAGGTAATTAACTCTGGATCCTCATCACATTGATTCCATTCTAAATTCTAGCCATAAACAAAACAAACATTACCAGATAACTCCGTTTACAATAATTTGACATGTTCCAGTGTGAACGAGGCCTTCCCCGGACAAATCCTTAAATGCCAGTCTTCTCTAGATGAAGTTCGAACAGTATAATCTATCGGATAACGTATATTACAAGGTGCTCTGATGATAATTTTAGTAAAATAATTAATAATTGCCAAAAGAATGACCGCTGACGAGACTCGAACCGGAGTCTAGTACTAGACGAGCGCGCCCTAAACCATCGTGCTACGTGAGGCTTACCATAATTACAATATGTAACATAATATAATTCATAAAAATACGCAAGTAAATTTTTCGTTATTTATGGATCCAATAACAGTGACATACTTTTCGCTTACAAAGGGACTCGCGAAATCTTTTTAAATAGAACATA